TACCAGAATGTCAGACGCCTTAACCACTTGGCAACCACGGCTCCCCATAATGAGTGAAATGCTACGTACAAAATACACAGGTTTTGTTGTTGGTGGCATTTTAAGAGCATTCATTCTGACTGTCTCCATTGCAACCTTTGAGACCTTTGTCTTTTCTATCCTACGGTACCTAACGTCACGCTACTACAATAGGTACGCTTTCCAAATTGGTACATGTTCGAATAGTACTTTAAAATTAAACTTGTGTATTTTGAGCTCATGGTATGACAAAGGAGATATTCATCAGCGTTCCCATCAAATAGTTTTGCTTTTCAGTGACATGTTAAGAGTACACGATGACGTCAGAGTAAACATGTCAGAAAACGAGGAAAAACGGCGTACATCGACCATATTTTGGAGGAATTTGAAGGGGGTAATTATGGGCATGTTTAAATACTGATTTCTTGTCTTTAAAACTGTTATATCATGATTTGTATCACTGTTATATCATGATTTGTATGACTGTTATATTGTGACCTTTCTCTTTCTCTTTTGTGATGTTGCCCTAGAATATGGGCGGATTGGTCGAGTGGTTAACACTCCGGCCTTCCACGCATGCGGCTGGGCTTTGATCCCCACGGCCGTCGTACGCATGGATATTCAGAGAAGGTGTTTTTTCCCCTGCCCACACAGCTCCAACAACCCAGGTGGAGTATAAAATGGTCTGGGGTGGATGTTGCGGTATCTGTGATGTATCATTCAAATGAGGTGGCACTATAAATGATACTGATGGAAGCATGGTCCCACTACGAACAGAACACATTACATCTCTAGCACACACGCAGGCATACACACATGGGGAGATATTAGCCAGGTGGCATAGGACTAGTAGTTAGCGTCTGATATTTAAACTTATATTAATCACTCTCGTTGGCCCGGATGTTAGCGCGCGGGGGGTCTTAATGTGAGAGGAAATCGGAGTTCACCCACGGAATGTCCGAAAAGTAGTCGCTGCCTCACAATAAGGTACTGGAATAGCATAGTTATATACAATTACTATTTAGTTTGGGTTCCTATATGCTTCATATATTCGTTTTCCTTGTGGTTATTTTCCTGTAAGAAGTCCCCGACACTGGGACTTCGTTCAGTGAAAACTTTCAATACCGGATCCCTCTGTAATGTTGAGCTTCCTGCTTTTAACGTAAATCCGTTTAGTTATTTTGTAATCAAACGCTAAGGTTGAAAACATTGATATTTATTTCTGGCAAGAATAAGTTGATTAAGCGCCACCATTATCAAAGACGCTATTATACAACGTAGCAGTCTTGACCGTATCTGTTTACTTTGGTACCGTTCAGCACAAACAAGACTACAAACACGCGAATCAACAATATTTTTTACAAACTGAAAAAAAATAACGAGCTTTTCAGATGAACAATGACTTGTAGTAAATACGTGTATCATTAAATTCTACAAAGGATATTTGATCTACTACGTTATAACGCTAAATTGTGCAATGATTTTATCATAGTAATTTGACTTATACAATTGAAACGCATTGCCTATTGTTACTTGATTTTTGCAACAAGGCCCACTGGTTAGGAGGAGTTATCTCCCTTGTTTCAGTAATTCGACACAAACTGCCAAAATCGATAAAAGAAATTAAATCATAAATCGCAGAGAAGTCATTACCCTCACCTTTTAAGTGATTAAAAAGTTAATAGAGGATATTTAATGGTGTCTTCAGTAATAACAAATATATTTCACGAGTGTGGCTTATATTTGAATATTTTTCACGAGTGCGCAGCACGCGTGAAACATATTTGCTATTACTTAGGACACCATTAAATTTTCTATTTATTACATTTTTAAACCATAAAACATCAAAAGTGTAATTTATTAAAAAAAAACGGCGGGAATCAGAAGCGTAATAATTAGCGCCATATTATAATGATGTCACGCTTAACAAAAAGGCTGTGCGCCATTTTGAATGGGACTCTCAACGCAATTCCGACGTTTTCTGCTATTATTTGGTGTGATTGCTTATGAACATGTTATTAATTGTATGTACCAAACATTTACCATAACAACCACATATTCTACCGTCGCTTCATTTGAATCTGAACAAAAATGTCGTTGCCTTTGAATGCAGCAATAAGAAGATACCGTTATGATTGGTCAATACCAAAAAGTGATATTTGTCACAGTGTGAAAGATATCAGTTTTATCAAGTTGATAGAATTCCGATATTTCAATGGCAAAAGTAATGAAGAAATATATTTGTTATATAAAATTACTCTTATTATAAATTATTATAAATTATTAAATTATCATATAAAAACCAGTATAAAAGTCTAGTAACACCTAAGAAACTATGTACAAATAATTTTCCTCAAAAAATAAATACTCAAGGGCAGCTACTCCTCCTAAATCGGCGTTTTGTAGGTGGGGTGGGGGTGGGGGG